AGAATTTTTAGTCAGTATCACTACAGTGCTGAGCTGATTCTATGAAGTCACTCAGTGAAAGACTTCACAGATGAAGTCTTAGAGAGGAAGAAATATATAAGAAATTCTGCTTCTCACAGATTCATTATCTCTATTTCTATCTCTTATGTAATTAATAGAATTAGCAGCCCTTGGCTACACATAACTATATAGACTGAAGTTTGTGAATACTATTCATAACTCAGCTTGAATACTATTATACATTTGATCTCTACATTTTATCTTCCTACTGTGAATACTTCTAGTAGTTAACAGTACATATCACGCCAAGCTGTAAACACCCGAATAATCGCCTGCGAGCACTTATTCTTACATAAAGTTAACTTCTCTTCTGATAAATGTATCTGTGAAAGATAAAGAAGAGAAAGAAATGAAGAATTGATAATTCTTATATCTCTGAGTTTATGTTACAATCACAATACATATCTCAAAAGAGAAGATACTAGTGAGATATCTACTTAACTTCAGAATAAATATTAACTTTATATTCTATTTCTTTTCTTTGATAAAGAGTTGAAAGAAGATAGATCTATCAGATTATATAAAATTTACTGATAAAATAAAATATCACTATTTTGACATAATTTAAGTGAAGTATATAATTATAGACTCAGAAGAAATCTTTAAGAAGAGCAGTCTACTTCTTCACACAGTTAATATTATAGATAAGAACATTATTCTAGATCTTCTGTAATTGAGAGAAAATAATTCTCTCATTGACTGAGTTACTCAGATATGATGATATCATTTTACTGATAAAGAAATAGTAATAGAGAAATCTGAAGAGTTTCATTGAAAGAATCTTGAGAATAAAATAGAGTTAATATACTGTGTAGCAGATGACTGAGATTTAAAGATAGATGAAGAAGTTATCATTCTTACTGCAAGATTAGCAGTGATATTTATTATTAAAGATGAATAAATATAACATCTCTTTACAGATTATAAGAATATCTTTTTAGAAAGAGAAGTAGTGAAGTTTTCTGATATTAAGATATGATATAAGATCTGTCTTGAAGATGATATAATAATACTGTACAGATCTTTTTATAACTTATCTGTAAAGAAATTGAATATTCTGTATAAATATGTTGAGAAAGTGCAATTAAAGAACTGAATACACTTATCAAAGAGTCTGACAGAGACATCTATACTCTTTATACTTAAGAAGAATCATGGACTACATCTATGCATAGACTACAGAGGTCTTAATAAGATGACAGTTAAGAATCACTATTTATTATCATTAATTGATAAGATAATCAATCAATTATTTGAAGTAAGAGTATTCTCAAAAATTGATATACAGAATATCTATCATAGAATCAAAGTTAATGAAGAGAATATTTCAAAAACAGCTTTTCATATTAAGTACAGTAATTTTAAATATCTTGTTTTATCTTTTGATCTCTGTAATACTTCAGTTATCTTTCAGATCTATATAAATAAGACATTGCAGAGTCTTGTCAATATCTTCTGTATAGTATACTTAAATAACATTCTAATCTTCTTGAAAATGAAGAAAGAACATAATACTCATATTCAAGAAGTATTAAGTCACTTAAGATAGTATTAACTCTATATAAACACTGAAAAATACTTGTTCTATATACAGGAGATTGATTTCTTAGATTATATTATTGAGATAAACAGCATTTCAATGAATAGAAGCTGAGTCTTCATTATTGAGAACTAACTGATGCTGCAGATATACTATAAGATACAGATATTTCTAGAATTTATGAATTTCTACATATAATTTATCTATATATATTCATGAATTACTGCTTCTCTTACAGATATATTAAAGAAAAGTATGAAAGTCAGAAAGATGAGACTTTTTATTCTCACTTAAGATACTGTGTAGATGTCTACAGAATTGAAACAAGCTTTTACAGATGTCATAATACTGAATCACTCTAATTTCAATTTACTTAGCCAGTGTGAGACTGATGTATCTGAGAATAAAGTCTGTGAAATCTTTTCATAGTTAACATTGAAGATCTTTCAATATTGAAAGAATCAGAGAATAATAAACTCTGAAAATACAGATAATGAAATATCTGTAAGAGAAGACTTTTTTATAGAGTCTATAAGACACTGTAAATAAAGATAAGTGATCTTCTTCTCTAAGAAGTTATCACTTATACAGAGAAGATATAATACTCATCATTAAGAGATATTAGTAATTATTAAATTCTTTAAGATCTGATAATATTATCTTCAGAATAGTAAGTACTCAGTTTAAGTTCTCACTAATTATATAAATCTACATTACTTCTTGATAATAAAGAGCTTGATAAAATGTTAAGTCAGATGAACAGAGCTGCTTTCAGAGTATGATTTCTATATCTGATACTGTTCAGATCAGCTTAATCTTATCAATACACTATTTAAACAGTCTGATTATAATATTATTAATATGAAGAAGAATTCTACAAAAGAATCTCTATTATCATTATAGAAGAAGCTGACTGCAGAGAATTAAGATTCTCTGAAGCTCAGAAACAGCACTGATAAGACAGCTGTATGACTCAGTATAGAAGATGAAAGAAAACTCAGATCTCTGCAGAGAATTGATACTGAAGAGTATAAGCTTCTTATATTATATCTTACTATTATTAAATTAATAAAGAATAAAACAGTCTACAATCTTTCAATCTGACTACTTTTAAAATTTATTAATAAGTTATAGAAGAGAGATATCTCTACTGAAGCTTAAATTCAGAAGTTAAAGAAGAAAGAATCTGACTTAAACTTAAAAGAGACAGACTCTGAGTGAAGCAGTACTGTTAAGAAATCAAGTTACTGATAACTAGAAGAATATAAACTTCTACTACTGAATGATTCAGTCTTCATTTCTTGTAGTAGAGCAGTGTGTCAGAAGTTATTGAGAATTCATTATAATAATTCTTATATAGAGCACTTTGAGTTAGAGAAGACTGAGAAGCTTCTAAAATATAAATATATTTAAGACAAGCTCTGAACAGATATCAAAGAGTATATTAAGACTTATAATATCTGTTAAAGAATAAAGATCTCACAGTATAAGTAATACAGTAAGTTAATATCACTATCTATTTTAAAAAGCTTATAACAAAATCTATCAATAAATTTCATAGTTAATCTGCTGAAGTTAATAAGAATTAAAGAATATAACTTAATTTTAATCATTGTTAATCACTTTATAAAGATAATTAAATATATTTCTATTTATAAAAAGATTAAAGTCTCTGAATTGACTGATCTGTTTTTAAATATTATTATTCATAATCACAGTGTTCTGAAATCATTGATAACAGATCAAGAATCTCTCTTCATCAGCAAATACTGATCAGTCTTTTATTATTATCTATATAAGATATCTTCTCAGTACTGTATTTCATCACAGATAGATGATAGACTGAATATCAGA